AAATAATATTATATAATATTTTAGGAATTTACTAGTTCTAGTCTACGTTTTGTACAAATAATATTACTCAAAAGACCACCCCTCTAATCATTAGATTTAAAATCCCCCTCTAGCTCCACATTTACAAGTTAAAAAAAAAAACAAAGGTCTACGTAGAATAAAGTGTAGATAATAGCAAGATGAGATCCTCCTAAGACGTAGTCATTGGATCATTCCTAATTATTCTCATCAAAATTGAATCCCATCATGTCAATTTTGTGCGGGTTACTCAAAATAAGAGAGCCACTTTGATTTTTCAACAACTATTAGCATTACCATCCTCAATAATTATCATCAAATCAAGCAAGCACCAGCCTAATTCAAAATATTCTTCCCCTTTCACTCAGTGGTGTTTTGAAAGTCGATGAAAAACTAATTTTTTAACTTTTTTTAATTTATTTTATTTTTTTTAATAAAAATTATGAAAGATGAGGCGACTTAAAATAAATAAAAAAAATTTACTGAGTTGCCAAAGCACCTCTCACTATAATAGTCACAAAAAACACAACCATATCTTCACAGAAGTGGGAGAAGCAATTTAAGCAAACATCACAGGACTATAAGAAGAGGGGGTTGTGCTCTTCAAAAATTGAGGCACCCACTTATTTGTTATCTTCCGATAGTATAATGTTAGTCTTGTACTTGGGAGGATAAATAATTGTACATAAACACATGGAATGCAAAGTAATATTTTTAAAAACACATACCTAAGACAATTAAAAAATTAAATTGATAAACAAAATTTTACAATTTGAAGCTCTCTATGGAGAGTTGGAATCTAGAATTTAAATAGAAATTTAAAATGAGAAATGGTAGAGGGCCCAAATTCTGTGGCTCAAATGTGGCTCAAATGGCCAAAACGACGTCGTTTTGAGTACAAAACAACATCAAAATGGCCAAAACGACGTCGTTTTGGCCATTTGAGCCACATTTGAGCCACAGAATTAGGGCCCCCAAAGTCAATTTTGTGCGGGTTACTCAAAATAAGAGAGCCACTTTGATTTTTCAACAACTATTAGCATTACCATCCTCAATAATTATCCTCAAATCAAGCAAGCACCAGCCTAATTCAAAATATTCTTCCCCTTTCACTCAGTGGTGTTTTGAAAGTCGATAAAAAACTAATTTTTTGACTTTTTTAATTTAATTTATTTTTTTTAATAAAAATTATGAAAGATGAGGCGACTTAAAATAAATAAAAAAAATTTACTGAGTTGCCAAAGCACCTCTCACTATAATAGTCACAAAAAACACAACCATATCTTCACAGAAGTGGGAGAAGCAATTTAAGAAAACATCACAGGACTATAAGAAGAGGGGGTTGTGCTCTTCAAAAATTGAGGCACCCACTTATTTGTTGCCTTCCGATAGTATAATGTTAGTCTTGTACTTGGGAGGATAAATAATTGTACATAAAGACATGGAATGCAAAGTAATATTTTTAAAAACACATACCTAAGACAAAATTAAAAAATTAAATTGATAAACAAAATTTTACAATTTGAAGCTCTCTATGGAGAGTTGGAATCTTGAATTTAAATAGAAATTTAAAATGTAACTAAATTTTAATTACATTTCACTAACTTTTCTCTATCTAAATTTTTACCAAAATCTATTATATCAAATATTTATAATCTCAATACATAATCATAAGAAAATTTTACCATATACACATGCCTTTAGTTACGACCTTTATAGCCATAATTTATACATCCTAGTTATAACACTTCATGACATTTTTTATAATATTATTTTAATTATAACCTCGGAACTTGTTGATTATACCATATATAGTGTTTGAATATAACTCAATTTTTTTTCTTTCAAGTTACATGACTTCCATAAAATTAAATTACGACATTATAAAAATTAAACTAATAAATGTCATAACTTGCATTTGATATACCATGCTTAATATAAAAGTCTAAGATAACGCTATCATATACAAATTATGATATTTGTGAGATTAATATATGTAGTAAAAGTAACTCAATCATAGACGAGTCATGATTCAAATAACTCTTAAATTATAATTCAAATAATATAATAATCAATACACATAACTAACACTATAGCATGTATAAGTTATAATTAAATCGTAACAAACACTCCAATAAATCATAAGTAAATATAACAAAATATATCTGAATATATATATATATATATAAATCAGAGTCCATGCAATAGCTATCCCAAAAAAAACCATTACAAAAATATAGTATCAGACCACCATTTTCCAGCAATTGTTCCCATTTAAAACATGTACAATATTGCTTAATTCATAAAGTACAAGTCTACCAATGCATGAATGCAATGAGAAACTTTAATCAGAACACAAATAGAAGCTGCCACAAAAATTGGGAAATTCAATATATTTTTTTGCCCTAAAATACCTTTTAGAACAAAAAAAACAATGAAAATTATGTCCCATACGTCCTCTCTCTCTCTCTCTCTCTCATCACTCTTTCCATCACTTTTTTCGTACAGAAATCAATAAAGTGGAGACCGGTGAGGAGTTCCCTTCCGGCGGTTCATCAGCCCCACCGAAATCCCCGATACCGGCCGGCACGCCGCCCGAAACATCGGAACGCCGCTGCGTTTCTTCCTCACAATCTCCGTCGTCGCCGTACAACCCACTCCCCCGGCGGCGCCACCACTTGAACCGGAGGAGGTCCTCAACGAGCCGGCCAGTTCAAGGACCGAATCAGGCGTCATTTGACCGTCGTCAAAGCCCGGTTCAGACAACGTAAGGTACTCGCACTCGAAGATATACTTGGAAAGAAGACTACTACTCTCAGTTCTCAGTATATGTCGGAGCTGTCAGCAAAAATCAAAATAGAGAGAAACCCAGATGAGAAAAAGTGGAAATAGAAAATGGGTGAGAGAGAATCGAAAGTTAGTGCAGGGTTTTTTTAGGGTTTTAGAGCGTGGACCTTGCAGGAGAGAGAACAGAAGATGTATGGGTCTTGTAAGCCTCTGTCGCAGGTGGTGCAGATGTTGCCGGCGCCTCTACACGGCCGAGTCTGTGGCCTTTGATTTAAAAACACCACTTTTGCACTGTTTGTGGTGTAAGACTGAAGAGAGAGAGAGAGAGAGAGAGAGAGCCCAGTTCAGAAATTTTAAAAAGGTATGAAAAAGGAGAATTCAAAAATATAAGAATTTGTTTGGTTTTGGTTTTGTTATTTAAAAAAACATATTCTGAAAAATCAAAATATGCATCATTTCCATATGATTTTTCTCTTTTTCAAAACAAATTCAGAAAACAGAGTTTGAAAACAAAATCAAAAAACAAAAATAATTCCTTCACATTTTGTTGATAATTTGTTTGGAAATTTTCACTTACTTGAACTAAGGCACAATCCATTAATTTCTCAGCATCACCCAACCTTATAACATCGTGATAAACATACCTTCTTATCTGAAATCAACCATAAATAGCAAGATTTATAAGTATATATATATATATATATATGTATGTATAGATGTGTGTATGTAGAGAGAGAAAGAGATGAGAGAGAATGGAGGGAGAAGACCTGTAAGAGGCGGTGAGAGCGGTGGGGAGATAAGCAGTGAGGGCAAATGCTATCGCAACAGTCTAAGCAAAAGATGTTCTTTTCATTCTTCTTTGACTCCTCGTGAATTATACAAGCGTTGAAAAACTTCTCTCTCAGTAAGGATTCAAGCCACCGAGGAAGATTTGAAGAATCTATCTGATAAACACAACAGATTCGATTCAATTCGATTCAATTCGATTCAATTCCAAATCTTTTTCACATACCCACAAGGAAAAAAAAAAATAGAGAAAGAGAGTGTTACCATCTTTTATTGTGTACTTGGTGGTGGAGCGAGAAGGCGAGAGTGAGATACGTGGTATTATGAAGATGGTGGTGGAGTTTGCTATCTCCCGGGACTAGACGGAGGAGAGAGTGGTTTAGAGAGAGAGAGAGAGAGAGAGAGAGAGAGAGAGCGAAAAGAGAGAACGGCGCCTGCAACTGGAGAGTGGGAGACTAATGTGGAATACTATACTATACTAATACCAAGGAAAAAAGAGAGAGAGAGAGAGGGGGAGTGGAAAGGTTGGCATCATTTAAGGAAGAGTTTGATGGTTTCTTCAGCGTAGCGTAGTGTGTTTTGTACTATTTCCCATTTCTTAGAGAAATTCATAAATATATTCTTATGGAACCAAAGTCTAACGATTGTTTTGGAAAATTAGTAAAAAATTAACTTTTAACTTTTTATTATGCTTTTTAATTTTTTTAAAAGTGATTTAAAAAAATTGATAAAATGTTAATTTTTTATTTTTTAATTTAATATTTATTTATAGTATCAAATTGAATTAAAATGATTAAAATATTCTTATCCAATATAAGAGATTTATTTTTTTATTTTTTTTCATAAGTCCTAATTTATAATTTTACGGTTGCGTTTTTGGCACTTGCCAAATGGCTTTTCTGACGTTTTTTACAGCAAGTTTTTGGACATTTTATTCAAAAACATGGTTTTTTATCATGTTCCCAAAATGACGCTAAGTCCCTCTCACACATTAGGGCTTATTCGTATTCTTATTCTTTTTCTTTCTTTATTGTTATTTATTTATTTATTTTATGATCAAATATTCAAGACAGTTCATACGTATTTTGATTAATTTTGATACTTATGTAAAGTGTCATATTCACATGAATCGAAAAAAATTTAGATAAAGCTTACGAATATGACTTCAAAAAATTGATAGCACTTAATAAGAGTTAAACCTAAGACCCAAAAAGAATATACTTATAGCGATTCCGATTTTGACCTGACACTTGTGGTAGTCCGGACTCAGATTTATGGTTTTTAAATGTTATTCATTGTCGTTTTCCCTTTATTCATTCTCAAATTTGGTTATTTGGACGTGTTGAGCGTATTCGGAACATGTTGGTTGCTTGGTTTTCAAACCTTATGTTATCTTTTTTTTTGGTCCTTCGCTCGAGCAGTCCTTCTTGCGCTCAAGCAGGATTTGCGAACGCTCAGTACTTTAGTGCTGGAAGAGTGTTTTCTATGCTCGAGCGGCGTTTCCTACGCTCGAGCGGGTGGGTGCTTGAGCAATTTGTCTATTTTCTGCAAAAGTACTGGATGTTTGTATTCTACGCTCGAGCGGGTCACTTCTTGCACTCGAATGGAGCAACTTATTGTGTCTTATACTCGATCGTCAACTCTTATGCTCTAGCGGATTGTGCGTATATCAGTTCGTGAAAATGACTTTTTACATCATTTTTTCAGATCTTTTCCTCAAAAAACCCTAAAGTGACACACTCTCTCTAAAATACTCTCTCTCTCTCTACATTTTCTCCTAGATCCGTTGATCTCTCCGCCCTAGTATTTTTGGAAAAATAGTAGAGCATTTTGAGAGCTCCATTTTGATCCGATTGAAGTTTGGTTTCAGCGTCGTTGAAGCTTTGTTCTTGCTCCATTGGCCTTCTAAACTTGAGGTAGGAACTCTCTACACCTTAATATGAGTTTTAACTTGGTTATAGATTCTTGTGTGAAAATTGTGAGATTTGAGAATGTTTTGAGCAAATCTAGGATTTGGGTTCAAGTTTACAAAGAGGGGTTTCTATATGGATGTTATACGAATGATTATGGGGTTCAGATATGAGGTCATCTTGTGTTAAAATAGTTAATTTTGACCTTTAAGTTAATATTTGGAAAATGGGGAGCTTTGCCTAAAATGTCTTGAATAAGCATTATGTATAAATAATGAAATTGGTATGGAAAATGTAAAATTGGGAGGATGTATACATGAATGGTGTTGTTGGATTTGTTTAATCACTCACCTATGAAAATTTGATGATTTATCTGTTATAGAGATTGTATATCTGTTTAAAAATATTTACTTTGGACTATCGGTAGAGGATAGTCATGATTGTTGTAGACATTGCATGTGGATTAGACGAATTGAAACTAATCCCTTAACCATTATTATTAAATATGATTATGAATTATATACATTGTATATGTATGATATTTGGGAGGAGAAAATGGATGGACTCCATTGAACTAAGTTGGCCTGTGCATCTAGGGTGAAAGTCCCAAAACCATTTGTATACATGGGAGCCAATTCTCACGGACGAAATTTTCGTAAAATGGCAAATAGTAGTGAATGTATTTGTATGATGATTTTATTTATTGGAAACTTGTGAGGTGTAGCCTCTGTTGATAGGGTAAATGCAGTGGATGTATCTATTAAACCAAAATGAATGAATTGAGACGCTAGTTTGGCGTAACATGGTTTTAGAAAAAGTTATAACAATTTTGTCGTAGGACAATGAACATGTGCATCATACTCCTATCTTGTTAATTCTTATATATTGTGTTAGTACGTTTCTACTGGACTTTGGCTCACCCTACTTGAGAACCATTTTCAAGTGTTGAAGATATGCCTCAGTGTCAAGACCCAAACCCGTCCCGAGAAGGTTGGCATCGTAACCGGCCAGTAATCCTAGATTACCACAGGCCTTTCTGTACAAAACATACATAACCGGGGCTTGCGGAAGCGAAAACAAAACACTAATAGTCCAAAGAGCTGTGCATTTATATGAACATACATTACATGCAAAAAAAATGTTAATTTACCCACTACATTACATCACACATAATCAAAAATTCATGTACAAAACATAGGCTCACGCCACATGTACAACCAAAACCAAGCTTCCTAATGGCCTTCTAGGCCTAGCCCCAACTTGGAGGCACCAAAACACCGGGTAGGCTTCAAAACGGCGGCTCGGCCCGGACTCCGCCTAGGCTTGACTCCCAGAGTGCTCACCTATAAATACATATATACAGACAATGAGCTAAAGCTCAGCAAGTAACATTAAAGTAAAGGGGTAGTGAACGAATTCCACATTTCATATATCCATAAAATAAATCATTCATAAACATAATCATCTCATATCAGAACATACATAATGGCATACTCCATAGAACATAACATTTGTCGTCCAACGACTAGAGTAACCGGTCCCGGACACCGATTAAACACATACCGAGATTTCGTAAACTGGTCCACTTAGGACTATCTATGGATGCCATACTAGATTCGCAAACTGGACATTCGTTCACAGAAAGCATTTATCATTTCAAAACCATAGCATAACATAGCACCTTTAAACATAGATCATACTAACATATCTTTACAGAAATGTTACTCACAGTGGGTTCCAAAACCGATTGCACGGTCTTCGCCTCCTGACCTGCAATTATCAACATATAACACATTTCTTCAATACACATTATCATTAACTCACTTAATTCATGCCATTCTATCCTTTCTTTACTCTATTTCATGATTATGAGATGCTAAATGATGCAAATGACATGTGAAAATCATGTAGTTCAACTTCTCAAAATTTCCTGAGATAAGTCCCCCGCTCGAGCGCCACTTTGTCCGCTCAAGCGGACTGCACAATTCCAAAACTGCTGGGAGGCCGATTTTTACGCTCGAGCGGGAATCCCTCCGCTCGAGCGGACCACGCGAAAATCTGAAATTCTGGACTCTTCTCAAGCTTCAATTTCTCCTTTGCCAAAACAACTTCAAAGTGATGAAACCCAAGTCCCAAAACATTTGACCAACAACTTAAATTAAACATCAAATCTCTTAAAACAACCCACATGAATCCTTTACAAGATCAAACTTTGAATTAAAATAGAAAACCATGAACATGTACATACAAGCTTCATTTTTTACATCCATGGAGGTTCTCCCTCAAATGTGACAAACATGCAAGGAAACCATGATTTTGACCATGAACTTCATACTATTATGCCATAATCTTGAGATCAACATGCTAGAGGCCAAGAAGCAACAATCTATTTCATGAAAATCTTACCTTAGACGGTGAATTGGAGAAGTTAGCTTGTTTTTCCCCCTTTTCTTCTATCTTCTTCTCCTTGGTTTCTTTCTTCCACGAATTCACTCTCTCTCTCTCTCTCTCTCTTAGATATTTCTTTCTTTTGTTTTGAGTCAAAACATGGTCAACATCCTTATCTATATGTACATATATGTCATGAAAATAGAATTGTGCCATAATCTTGAGCTAAACAAGGCTTAACGAATCAGACGAAATTCAGTCTTCAATTTATTTTCCCAAATGGTTCTAAAAATTCCCGGTATCACATAGGCGTGCTCAATTTCGTTTTCTGAACCCATTACGGTCATCAATTTCAGTTCCAAAGTTCTCATCTCAACATATATTCTTCTAATTCCAACAGATATTCTTCAATTAATTCGCATAAACACATGATTAATTACTGATAAATATGACACATGTTTTGGGGTCATTACACTCAGTTGAGGCAGTAGTTTGGAGAGACTTGGAGCAAGAGCTTCCTTTTATTTTATTTATTTTGTATAGCCAAGGACTAAGTTGTATTGAGGTAGACTCTTCCTTTTGTTGTAACCAAGCAATGTCTTGGAATGATGTAAACCCGTAGGACATTTATTTTGTTGATTATTAACTGATATTAGATGCTATAGATTCAAGATGAACATTTATGAATGTATATTGCATGTATTATCTTTTGTGATACGAACTCTGATGAATGAAAGAATACCAATTCTATTATACTCACTTCTCTTATGAGTTGGATTAGTTGTAATTTTTTTTTTTTTTTTGAGCGTTACAATACTCCCAAATCTCAAGCTGCATTCACATTAAGGCCTCATTTGGTAACCTTCAATTTTAGCCAAAAAGTCAAAAAAATCACTATAAGTTATCAAATTACTCTCTCTACTTTTTTACATATCTTTTTGTAAAAAATCAAAAAATTACTAAAATAACTTGTTCCCAAACAAAGCCTCAGACTTATTTCTGCAACATTAGGTAAATGATTTGATTTCTCAAGTTAGTCATTTTAAATTGAGAAAGTAATTGAATTTGAAAGGCTCATTTTAAAATCGATTTCAATTATTCAAATCGTTCACTTTTAGTACTTCTTAAATAGAATATTTATATAAAAAAACAAAATTATTGAATATCAGTAACCATATATTTAAATCAAATTTATATTACACAAAATAAATAATTATTCTTACAATTAAATTTGTTGTTCATTTT